GGAAACTTCCTGAACTTCTTCTGAACTCCCTAGCTCCGCAACCGCTGGACCAATCGCAATTCCGAAAGGTGCTGCACGCTTCCTGAACTTCCTTCTACAGCCTCAGTACAAGAGAGGAGGCATTTTCCAAACTTTGTCAACTTTTTTTTCTTCCCCAAGAGAATCTGAGTCCAGACTTTGACGGCCAATATCTCCCCCGCCGTAGAACGTGGTTCTACCAAATTTTCAGCAAAGGTACCTACCAACCCTATCTACCAGCCCATGTAAAAACATCAGGGCGAATTTTGCTTCACGGCACAGAACCCCTTGTAACCCTAACCCTAACCCTAACCCTAATTCCCAACTTTTTGGCGTTCGACCCCAAAAGCGGTCACTTTTGCGGAGCGTCTACCGGAAAATTGGCAGTCTAAACTGAGTAGGGCTACTATTCAAAAGTTGTTCAGAAATGACTTTTGAACAACTTTCATTATGCAGCCCTACTTGGTTTATTTCTCAAGACACCTTGTAACCCTAACTTTGAGCACCTCCCCAGCCACTTCTCACTTGACAACCCATCCCCAAACTTCACACACATGCTCTGCAGAGCGTCCAAAACAACTTTCATTAAGGCACCAAGAAGATCCGGGGTGGTCAAAATCTGGACCTGGTAAGGGTCCCCCCTTTGCTCTGGGGCTAAAAATGCAAATTCTACTTTTTCTCCGCAACCAACGGATGGATCTTTCCCATCTTCTAGGGGCCTTCCACACTCATAAAAGTACACAACTTTCAATAAGGGACCAAGTCGAAATTCCCAACTTTTTGGCGTTCGACCCCAAAAGCAGATGTTTTTGCGGAGCGTCTACCGGGAAATTGGCAGTCTAAACTGAGTAGGGCTACTATTCAAAAGTTGTTCAGAAATGACTTTTGAACAACTTTCAATAAGCAGCCCTACCATGTTTTTCCCACAGAACACCTTGTAACCCGACGACAAGTGGGACTGCTTCGCCGAGGACAAAGTTGGCTGGAATGCGGTGTGGTCGGCGGCTGAAGTTGGTGACCAGGACTGCTGACGTGTCGACATCGACTAGCGCGGCGGCGGTCGCGAAGAGGGTGCGGGCTGGCCAATGCGACCACAGAGCGCTGTTCATGGTGTACGAGACGCCAGGCTTGCAACCATGTGTAACGCGCACCCAAGAATGGCTCTCTGGCGGCAGTATCTTCACTTCGCAGGCCCGGACGGTCTTTGCCGTTTGCGCCGCCGTGTGTCGGACTCCTTTGGTGCCGAAGACCGGGAACGTGCCTTTGTCGGTCGAGGCCACGCCGCGTGCGGAGTCGATGACGATGCCCAGGGACTTGATGACATCGATGCCGAAGCAGATGCCCGGTGCGAAGCCACGGGCCACGTGGAAGTCGGCTGAGGATGCTATCTCGACAGCCTCCTGGCCGGCGTTGGCAGCGATGCTGAAGGGCAGCGTCACGTGTCCGAGGGTCGTATCCGACCCAATGCCGTTGATCGGGACACAAGGGCCTGTCGGTGATGCGCCGAGACGAGTCGCAAGGTCCGCGTCGACGATGCCGATGGTCGAGCATGAATCAAGCAGAGCGAGGCGCTCTTGATCGTCGTCGCCGATGCGAGCGTAGAGGGCTGTAGGCAAGAGGTCGTGGAACGCAGTGCCCATGCCTGTGGCCGGGTGGGGGGCCCTGTCGATGCGGCGTCTGCCCTCGCGCCGCGGCCAGCTGAAAGGGAGGAGGTTTGTTGCGCGCGTTGTATCTGAGATCAGGACGCATGCTTCTTCCTCTGAGGTGGACGGCGATCCAGGAACGTTGTCGCCAGGCCGGTGATCAGTGTCGGTGCTAGAGGGGTTGCGGTCGGACGCGTCAGAGGCCGAGGCGTCCGCATTGTTGCCGACAGCTGACGCTAGGGATGGGATGTGGACTTCGTCGTGCGCGGGAGAGGGAAGGAGGGAGTGATGGTGTTCTCCGGCTTGGGCGTCGACGCCAGCGTCAACAGCGGTAGGCGGAGCGGGAACGGGACACGAGGCCGGAAATTGCGGATGCGATGCGACTGCGGAGGCGGGCGATGCTGGAATGGGAGGAACGGCGAGGGCTGATGCGACTTGGGATGCGGAGGAGTTGTTGGCTTGTTCCGGGGCTGGAGCTTCATCTGGAGTTTGCTCGGCTTGGTTCGGGATCGTGGGATCGGACGCTCGTAGTGTAGAGGGAAGTGCGAACGCAGGAAGATGGGGATGGTGCGACGTGGAGACTCTTAGGGCCTGCTGTGCGTCCAGCGCTTTCGGCTGGCTCGTCGAGTCACCAAAGGATGGGGGCTTTTCCGTCGGAGGATTGGGAGCAGAAGGAGGAACCGGGTCATCTTCGCCTGTGTGGGCGATGCAGGCGATCGCGACCCTGTGGTCGGCGTTTCCCGCTGGCCTGATTGCTGAAGCCTGTAGTTTTACGGCGTTGCGGCCGTCAGGCCCCCCGTCGTCGATGGAGCGGATGCGGTTGAGGGGCGGCTGCCCGACCCACTTCCGCCGCCGTGCCGGTTACTCGAGGCGGCTGGCGACGCAAACGAGTGAGGAGTGTCGGTTGAGAGGTCGACCCAGTCAGGCTTGTAGAACGAGTAGCCTTTGTAGGAGTCCGGGCGGTAGACGGGGTATCCGTAAGCCGTCCACGTGCTGGAGTCCGCCAGAGCGTGCGCCTTGGCCTTCACGAGGAGGTGATCGTGTTCGAAGTCAAAGTGCTCCTCGCCGCATCGACTGCACGGCTTCTTCAGCACGATCTCTCATCCGTCGGAAGGCACGCGGTAGGTCCGGACCCTCCTGCCGTCCTTCAGCCTGTAGTTGACGTTAGCCGGTGTGTAGTCGGCGCCGAGAGGGCCGCGTCGGACAGGCGGCTCGGTCGACTGGCGGCTCTTGACGGGCATGTCCATTGGAGGTAGGGACGATGCCAGAGTTGAGGCCGACGGCGGGAGTGGCAGTCCTGTTGCCGAGAGCTGCAGGACGGGGAACAACGAGCCAGCAAAGGACACGGTAGGCAAGGCCGCGGTCGGGCCTCGGCGACCAGGGCAAATGAAGCGCGCCTAAGAGTTGCGCCAGGGGATCTCGTACATGAGGCACTCTTCCAGTAGCCTCTCTGGCTCCGGGTTCCTGGCCAGCGTCGTTCGGATGAGCGTTTTGAAGGAGTCCGGAAGGCCCGCGCAGATGTCGGAGCACAAGGAGGAGTTGTTGCGGTCCGGGTAGGCTGCGCGGAGGAGGGAGTACTTGTCCCAGAAGTAGTTGGACGAGTCTTCCACGGCTAAATCCCAAACACGAGCATCGGCCACCAGTCGCGCTCGGTCGAGGTTGCCGGCGAAGGTCTTCTCGAGCGACTCGCAGAACTTGTCCCAGCTGCGCAGGAGCTTGCGGCGACGTTCGGGACGGAGAGCGTTGTACCACTTGGCGGCGGAGTGGCGGAGGCAGAGAGGAAGTACCTTGAGCAAGGCGAGCTTGTACTCGTAGGAGCATTCGCTGTCCAGCAGAGCCTCGACCCGGTTGCACCAGAACTCGAGTGAGACGCCGCCGGTAACCGTCTGCCCATTGAAGACGCCGATGTTGTCGGGCTTGATGTTGAAGCGCTTGCCGTTGGTGTCAGACTCTTGGTCTCGCTCGCGACGACGGTCGGTGCAGGTGTCCTGGTTGCGCTCACGACGGAGGTTGTCCTCAGGTGAGGGCCTGTATGCTGTGTCGCGCCCGTCCAGGCGGCCCGGCACGGTCTCGCGCTGACGATGGGAGACGGATTCCCAGTCCATCGTGTCAAGACGCTGCGATCGACCGCCTACGCCAGCGGCGTTGTTCGTCGCGCTAGCCGGTGGCGTGGCCGCGGCTGTCGCGCCCATCGCACTGGAGGCTGGGGCGGGGCTGGCGGTCGATCTGGGAACAGAGCCGACTGTTGCGGCCATGGCGTCGGCCTCATCCTGCGAGAAGCCTTGGTTGCGGAATGCTGCGACAACCGCAGCTCGAGCAGCCTCCTGAGCGGCGCGGCGTCGGGCTGCCTCGTCTGCAGAGGGACGTTGCGCGCGCATCTCGTTGGCTAGGTCATCGAGGCGCCTGTTGAGGGGTTTGAGCTGATTAGCGAGCGCCGTTTTGAAAGCGTCGACGAGACTCTGCGTGTAGGGCCTGGCCGGACTGCGCGGCTCGTCGGTGCCGACGTTGCCGCTCGATGAACCTGGTTGTGAGGCCGAGACCTGGATGCTGGGCAGCGAGGATCTGTCGGCGGAGGCCGCCGGAGCAGCAGCCGGCGGTGCATTGAGGCCGGGATGGGACAACGACGCAGCCGGATCAGCCATGTTGGGCGAGCGGGAGACGTAGATGGGAGCGGGAAGGCTGGACAACGATGAGAGGAGGGCGCGCGACAGGGGCAGGCGATTGAATGCGGGTGTTGCGGTAGTGTAGAAGCCGGGATTGCAGAAGGGCGTTGATGACGAGGAGCCCGTGACGGGTGTGAGCGTACGACGGCGGCGGTTAGGTAGGGGCGTCTGGGAAGGGGGGTGGTCTCTGGGGGATTGACGGGGATTGCGAACCATAGAGGGGCGGGGAGGAACTGAGCTCGCTCGCTGTATCTGCTATCTTCGGGCGTGGGTTCGAATCCCACTCTTGTCACCATGTGCTGCCAGCGCAGAGAACAGAAGAGGAGATCGATGGCGTGAGGAAGGAGGAGGCGGGAGGCCGCGCGGCCTAAGGGCCAGGCCAGGGCTCGGGACTCGGAAGAGCCCGGCCAGCCGCGCGACAGCCCACAGGCAGCGACCTACTCTTCGCCAAGGCGCAGACAAGGCTCGCCCGACCCATACGCTCCAAGGCCTGCCAGCACACGCACGCACGCACACGCATGCACGCACACACGCACAATCTAGCTGCTCAGACGGTCCAGACAGGCGGGGTGGTGAGGAAAAGGAGGGCACCGCTGCGAGACAAGGCGCCAGGCGGTCAGCGGAGACGGGGCCGTCGATGCGCCGAGTGCCGAGCGGCGCAGCGAAGGCTAGGGGAAGACCCAAAGGAGGGCCGACGAGGACAGGGCCGACGAGCGAGCGTCACGGCGCCGAGACCGAATCTCGAGGCGCTCGTGACGAGCCGTCGGCCGACCGGGGGTCGACGAGAGGAAAGCAAAAGGTGACAGCGGGGGAAGGAAATGAAGACCGGGCCGAGAGGAGAGGTACGACGGACGATCTAGTCTACGCTCAGCCTCGGCGCTAGATGCCGGCAAAGCCCGACGAGACGAGGGGCAGGTACTGGCACTCGGAGACGTCGCCGCCGGCGACCGTGTTGGTGACCTTGCCCGAGGTGAGCGTCTTGATGGCCTGGTCGACGTCCTTGCCGAGGAAGACCTTGGCGGGGGCGTCGCCCTTGAAGTTGCACACGATCGGGTAGAAGCCGACGCTCTGCGTGTTGAAGGCGAGGAAGACGCCGTCGGTGCTGGGGCTGTCGTCGACGTTGATGGGCACGAGCGAGACGAGGTCCGACGACTTGATCATCTTGTCCGTCGGGCTGAGGCGGAAGCGCGACACGCCGTAGGCGTCCATGAGCGCCGGGAAGTACGAGAGGATGTACTGGTCGGCGTTGTAGGTGATGATGTTGTCGTACGAGGCAAAGATGAGGCCGCCGTCGTCGGACGAGGCCGACTGCACGTTGACCGAGCCGTCCTCGCCCGACTCGAGCACGTACTTGCCCGAGGCGTCCTTGATCTGGACGTAGACGACGCCGTCGCCCGAGTCGAGAGGCGTGCCGTTCTCGAGCGCCGTGATGGACTGCGCCGTGTCGGCCTCGAGGTCCTTGTACGTGTCGGCGTCGAGCTGGTCGCCGTCAAAGTCGACGTCCTTGGCGTTCCACTCGTTGTCGTCGTCGCCAGCGGTGCCCAAAACCTTAGCCGCCTCGTCGGCGCGAGTGGTGAAGCGGCGGCGGACCACGACGCGGGCGCGTCGCTCCTGGACCATCGAGCGGCGGCGACGACCTGCGGGCGCATCGCCAGAGTCCGGAGCATCGCCGGTGTCGGTGCTGCCATCAGCGTGGCCATCGCTGCTACCGCCGCTGCCGCTGCCCGCGTCGCTGGAGCCGTCGGCCGGGTCGCTGCCGTCGCTGCCGGATGAAGAGCCGCCGCCCTCGCTGCCGCTGTCGCTGCCGCCAGACGAAGATCCGTCTCCGCCGCTGCCAGTGTCGGGTTGCGTCGAGCCGCCAGTGGAGCCGGTCTCGCCGCCAGTGGAGCCGGTCTCGCCCGAATCGTCGGTAGAGCCGCCGTCGGAGCCGCCAGGGGTGCCGCCGGACTCGCCGTCGCTGCCAGTCTCGGCGCCGGAGCCCGTGCCGGAGCCCGTGCCAGAACCGCTGTCGGAGCCGGTGGAGCCCGTGCCCGAGCCCGAGCCGGATCCCTCGCCGTCCTTGGGCGGCGTGGCCGGCGAGGAGCCGTCGCCGAGCTTCTTGATGATGACGCAGTCGCCCTTGAGCGGGGGCGCGTCGGCGGCGGGCCACTTGAAGAGCGAGTACTCGGGCAGGTCGAACACCTTGAAGGAGACCTCCTCGGTGGCGACAATGGCCCAGTCGATGCCGCCGTTGCAGCCCTCGTTGGAGTCCTTTGTCGAGTCGTAGGCAAACTTGGCCTTAACGCCGACCGAGGCCTCGCTGGTGATGGCGAGCGTCTTGTCAAAGCCGATGGGCTTGACCTTGACGCCAAAGGCGACCGAGACGGGGAAGCCGAGCGCGGTCGAGACCTCGATCTCGCCCTTGGCCTCGAACTTGGACGTAAACTTGGGCGTGAAGCCACGCTGGTACGACTTGCTCTTGTCCAGGAAGTCGACGTTGGCCTCAAACTTCTCCATGCCAAACGAGCCGCCCATGAGCAGGCTGCCCTGGGCCTCGAGGCCAAAGTTGAATTTGGCGTCAAGGCTGAGGGCGGGGCCGATGAGGACAATGTCGCGGATCGCGATGCCGCCGAGCGGGTAGGTGATGAGGTTCTTGGTCTTTGTGTCCTTGTAGCTGAACTCGGCCTCGAGTCCGAGCTGCAGCGTGGCCAGCAGGCCGCCGTCGAGCGAGATCTGGCCGCTCTTGATGCCCTTGTCGGCGAGGCTGAAGGTGACGGTGCCGATAAAGTGGGCGCTGCCCTTGACGCCGCAGTCGACGCAGTAGAGGTCGAGCGAGGCCGAGCCCTTGTCGCCGTTGACGGCCTTGGACGTGCTGTAGATCGAGTACTGCTCGCCCCAGTTCTTGCTCGTCTTGTAGCCCTTCTTGGGGGGCGCGATCTCGAGGCTGAGCGTCTTGTCAATCTTGACCGGGTTCTTGTCCAGCACGTGGTCGACCACCAGGCCGATGGGCGTCTTGGACACGACCTGCAGCGCGACGCCCGCGCCGGCCTTGTACAGCGAGACGGTGCCCTTGACGAGGCCCTTGGCGGCCGCCTTCACTAGCTTGAGCGGGTTCATGAAGCGGCGCTCGAGGCGACCCGCGGCACGCGAGCGGCGGTGGATCATGCGCACTCCGTGGCCACGCTGCAGGCCGGAGCCGTGGTTGCGGCGGCGCATCGCCGGTCCGACGGAGCGGGTGGCCAGATTGCCAGCGGCAGGGTACTCGTCGCCATCGGCGTCGTAGTCGGCCTCGTTGAAGTCGCCGAGACCGGGGGCAAAGTCGCGGAGCTCGTCGCTAAACGACTGGTCGTCGTCGAGGTTAAAGAAGCCAAGCGCCTGGTCGATCTCAATGTCAAAGTCGGGACCGCAGGCGGCGGCGGGGAAGCCGTCGACGGTGCTCGAGGCGGGGGCAGCGCAAGAGTAGACGGCGTTGGCCGGAGGCTTAGTGGGCCCGCCGGGACCAGAGGGCGTCGTGCCGGAGCCAGGAGTCGAGCCCGAGCCAGGCGTGGTGCCAGAGCCGGGGGTGGTGCCGGAGCCAGGGGTGGTACCAGAGCCGGGCGTCGAGCCAGAGCCAGGTGTCGTGCCGGAGCCAGGCGTCGAGCCAGAGCCAGGAGTGGTGCCGGAGCCAGGCGTCGAGCTAGAGCCAGGAGTGGTGCCGGAGCCAGGGGTCGTGCCAGAACCAGGGAGGGTGCCAGTGCCGGGGGTAGAGCCACCGGAGCCGCTGCCGGGCGTGGTGCCAAAGTCGACCTTCATGTCGGTGGCGACGTCGTCGATGGCGGCGAGGATGACCTTGACGTCGACGTCCATCTCCTTGTCGTCCCAGGCGAAGCGGTCGGCGGTGGGCTCGACGAGCCAAACGGTGCGCTCGTCGGGCGAGTCGGCCTTGCCGCACGAGTCGGTGTGCGAGACGAGGAGCAGGCGGCCCTTGACGTCGGACCAGCTCTTTTTGGCGCGGGCGTAGGCGTTCCAATCGGCGAACGGCACCTCGAGCACCGTCGAACCGCCCTTGCCGTCGCCCGACTTGCACTTGGCGTCGCCGATGCGCGACGAGTGGGTCAGGACGACGGCGGGCATGCTAAAGTTGGCGTGGAGCGCCGCAAACAGCTGCGAGGTCGACGCGTCAAACACGCCCGAGTCGGTGTAGAAGAGGTAGGCGCTGCCGATGGGGTCGATGCTGGCGAGCGACTTGGCATCGCCCTTCCACGGCATCGAGGGCTGCAGCTCCGGCGGCGTCTGGCCGTCCGGGTTGTGCGGGATGGCGCAGCGCTTCTTGGCGAGGTCGCACAGGCCCGAGCGGCAATTGGAGTTCTTGTAGCACGACGCGCCAAACGCCTTCTTGGCCGTGCAGTACGACTGGTCGCCGCTGCGCTGGCAGTTGCCCGTCAGGCACATGGCCGACGACGTGCACTTGGAGCCGCGGTGCAGGTTCCACGACTGGCAGGTGGCGGAGCGCGCGTCGCAGCTTCCCGACACGCAGCTGCGCCAGCCGGCGCACTTCTGGCCATCGGACTTCTTGGGCTTGCACGTGCGGCTCGACGTCGAGCAGTAGTGGTTGCGCCCGCAGTCGGCGTAGCTCTTGCACCTCTTTGCGGCGGCGCGGGCGTGGAGCTCGTGCGGGAGGGGAAAGTCGGGGACGAGGGGCTCGGGGACGGGGCGGACGACGATCGAGTCGAGGTGGTCCTGGAAGGTGTAGGCGTGGGTGTGGCTCGCGAGCGCCAGCAAGGTGGCCGCCACGGCGGTGAGCGAGGCGCTAAGCCTCATTGTGTCGATCTGCCGTGTCTGGAGAGGAGGTCCGCGTCTAGTCAAGCAACGGGCAGCCTCCTGGCGATGTCGAAACAGGGGTCGAGGCGAACAGTTCGAGCGAAGCAAAAGAGAGTGTGAGTGGTCGAGGGATCAGAGAGCGTAGGCGGTATCGGGAAAAGAGAGTGTCGGTTGATGCAGAGCTCGAGACCAGAGATGGGCCCTGACGCAAGAGGCGCCGGAGAAGAAGGGTCGACGGGAAAGGGAAGGAGGCGGCGGGGAGGGGAAGGGGAAAGAGAGAGGAGGAGGGGTGCGGGACGGCGATGAGGGGATACGACTGACGAGGCATGGTGCTCACCCGTGATGATGCTTTATACCTCGACGCTGTTCGCCTCGAGGCGGGCAAGCCGACGTCGCTGCCATCGGCCACCTTGGCTGCGATGGAGCCCCGGGGCGGCTCAGCGCCTGCCCTCGCGCGACGATGATCATGATCGACATGGTGTTTCAGTGGCCTGGTGGCTGATCAGCGGGCTGAAGTGGTCGGTTGCTCGTGTCGTCGAAGCCGGTGCAAAGGCAGAGAGGCTGCGGGCGAGGAGGATTTGCGCGGGCTGGAGGACACACAGGCCGAGACCCTCTGCGGCATCAATTGATACGTCGAGCAGCGCCTGGATCCTGTCCTGCCCTACCCGCTCTTGCAGACAGAGCCGGAGAGGCGGAGGGTGCGCAGGTCATCGTCTAGCGGGGAAAACGACACGCCTTTTGCGGCCCGCCTTGACGAGTGCCGTTGGGCTGGGATCGTTGCCATGGAACATGCGGATCTGAGGGTGAAGCCTGTCTGGATTCGCGACCCGATCCTCCGCCGTTCCGTCGGTGCGAGTGTCGAGGAGTGCGTAGGCTGCGGATGCGAGGGGTTGTCGGGTTGACGACTTGACGAGGCCGAGGCGACCCGGTCCAATTCTCTGGGCGCCGGTTTCATGATGGCCGCGAGGCGTTGGCAGCCTATAGTGGTAGCGGCTGGACGAGCCGCGGGGCGAGGGCAATGTCGAGAGGCGATCCGACGGAAGCGGGCGGGCGGCTGCGTTGCGCTGGGTTCTTTTCCCGCTTCATGGAAGGCGGCTTCGGCGGCGGCGTCGGCGACAGCGACGGCGTGACAGAAGGCTTCCTGGGGAGGTCTGTCCGGTCGGGGTCCAGGGTAGGGTTCGAGATCGTACGCCGAAGCAGTGGAAGCAGGAACGCCGTCGAGGCGGGTCGGTGGTGGCTGCCTCGCGGCTGGTGATGGAGGAGAGAGAGAGAGAAGAGGGAGCTGGCGAATGGCAGCTCCTATTTTGGGATCGCGGTGGTGCTGGCTGCGCATGCGTGCTGCTTGCTTGCGTGCTTGCTTGCTTGCTTGCTTGCTTGCTTGCTTGCTTGCTTGCTTGCTTGCTTGCTTGCTTGCCTGCCTGCTTGCTCGCCTGCCTGCGCCTGCCTGACTAGCTGCTCGCGCTCTCCGACAGGTCGGCCCCGCCCAGCCGAGCCAGCAGGCTGGCGGCCGGGCGGCTTCGGTGGGCGAAGGCCTTTGCTTGCTTTGCCTGCTTGCCTGCTCCTGCTTCCATCTGCAGGCGCGGGAAGCGGAGGCGGGCGGCCAGGCAGGCAGCGCGTGGCGCCTCCCGCCGGCTGCAGCCACCTCCCCGCTGTTGCTCTCGTCGCTCCGCAAAGCAACCGGGACTCTGCTCGCAGCGCTGTCTGCTCGTCGGCCGCTCTTCACCGTTCGCCTGGTCGACGGTCTGAAAGAATGCACATTGACCGCAGTCGATTGCTGCAAAGCGCTCAGACCTAGACGTTCCGGCCACAGAGCTGTCCTTTCGATGTCAAGGCCAGCCGATCCAGTCCGATGGCTCAAACTGAGCCGGGCTCATACCAGTAGTTTGGTATAGCCAAGACTACTATCTCTTCCAAGCGACCGAGGTCTCGGCATTGCGGCTTCGCTGCGGGTAAGTGCCCTTTGAACCGGGAGTGATTGGACGACATCGACAGCAGAGCAGGGTCGCGGGCAGATGCACGGCCAGGCCAGTCGGTGAACGGTGGAACGGCCAAGGCGGCGGGCCCAGACGCTTCTCTCGAGTTGCAACGTGGCGCCGACGAGCGTCGAGATCGCATGAGGGCAGGCGTGGTGGAAAAGGTACGGCGAGGCAACGCGGCAGGACAGAGACCGATCCCGACGGCCGGGAAGCGAGCAGATCAATGGCGGTGCAGACGCAGGCCGTCCTGCACCCATCGTCGAGAGCCTCGTCGGTCTCGTCAAGCACCAAGGTCAGCCGGCATCCAAGACCGTCTTCTCGACTCGCTGGGCTCGCCACACGTGCAAGGGGCTGCGATGAGCCGGCTGGAAGCCACCAACAGAGGCTCGACTTGCACTCGACGAGCGAGACCCAACACCAGGGCCGGCGCAGAGGGAGGAGTCTGTCGTCGAACGGCCCCTCGTCAGGCCGGGGAACGGATCGTCCCGGCCCTCGGCGCAGCAATGGGCGGAGTGGTAGGGATGCGCGTCGAAAGGGGACCCGATCTGCTGCGGGCGTGGGAGAAGAGCCAGCCAAAGGGAGGCGGAGGCACCTTCGAGTAGGACAAGGGGGGAAGTCGGAGGTTGGGCGGGGCTCACGACAAGGGAGGCGCAGTCGGAATCGCTCCCTTTGCCTTCCGACGGGCGGCTCGGCGTACAAGATCCGGCCTCGTACGCCAGTAGTCAGCCCCGTCGTCCCTGGCTCAGTCGATGGCACTCTTCCGTGTGCTTGACAGCGAGCCGAGGACGACTTGTTGATCACGATAAACCGCTTCGAGCGTCGGTGCTGTTCGCTTCCTCTGGACTTCAGATCACGACAACGGCCGTCAGTTGCTCGCGCGAGAGAGAAAGGTCCCAAGGGGCCGCGAGTCGTCGCAGGGCGTGAGTTGCTCTCACGTCGAGACATGGACCTGTCCTGCTACAATGGGACGTACAGGGCGTTGCGAGGTTCGGCCAGGATCAGCAATCGGGTCGACTCGAACAGGAAAGGCCCTCGTGCCAGGCCCTCGTCGAGGCAGGCTTGTGGATGGCCACCCTCGGACGACGAGCAGCCTCTTTCATTGCAATTCAAGAGGCTCGAAGGGAGGCGCCGAATAGGGAGGCGACAGCAGACATGAACGGGTACTCGAGGCCTTACGCGTGTGTAGTCCTACAGGAAGCTGGGCGAAAGGCGGGACAGCGAGAAGTGCACGCGTCCCTCAGGCGAGATCCTGCTGCCTGCGTCGAGGTCGTGCTGCGGGTGAGACTACGCTTCACCGACACAGCGCTGTGCATGCGTGGCGGAGACCAGGACGGCCGACGAGCAAGAGACGGCCGCGGTCGTCGATGGCAGAAGTCGACGGAGAGAAAGAAGCAGGGAGAGATATGGCGGAGGGAGGGAGGCCCGACGAGGATGCTGCGACAAGGGCGCGTCATTTTGGCACCATTTCGGAGGTCGTTTTTTATGACGGAAGGCCCGGCGCAGACTGACCTTCCAAACCGCCTTGCCGGGTCATGTCGAGGGACCTTGTGACGGCGAGGTCGCCAACAGAGAGGCTGCCAGACGAGCAAGAGCATCGACCTTGGCTGTCGAGAGGTGCTTCGCTGGCTAGGCAGTGAGGTGGTAGGAGCCCAGGACGAGGCACGCACGGCCGTTGCCCATGGCTCGAGGACGATCGTGGAAGCCATGTCGCTGGTCAAGGGGCGCCCTGAAAACAGAGAGCGGCGACAAGGAGGAAGCGATCGTGAACGAGGGGCAGCTAGAGAGCATCTCGAGGACCGGACTCGGCGTGGCAGCGGCTGCCATGCAGAAGCAGCGAGCTGAGAGCCGCCGAGGTTGGCGGAACGACCCCGATGCGGCTGAATCGGCATTTGGAAGCGTTGCCCGATTTTCAATCTCTTCGGCGCCGGCGGGCGGGCGGACGGGCTGGCAGGGATGCTGGCAGGCGGGCCAGCCTCCACCTCAGGGGCCTGGCAGGCGTTGGGCTGGCAGACGACGGGGGCGAGGCGAGGCTGTGCTCAGCGCGAGGGCAGGGCAGGGCAGGGCAGCGCAGGGCAGGCCCGGGTTGCGGGCGGAGGGTCCGGGGGCGGGCGATAGCGCTGCCAGATCGGCCTGGCCTGCCTTCCCCCTTGTCGGTGGGGGGCGGGCCGTGCTGTCCGTGCGTGCTCGGGGCTCGGTGCAGGTTGGCCCGCCGCCTCTCAGTCGACCGACCTTCTGGCGAGAACCCTTTCTGGGCTCGACTCCAGTCGTCGATCCGGCAAGGCCTCGCTCCACGCCTCGCTCCACACCTCGTTCGACCGATCGACACCACCGGCTCCTCCTCTTTCGCTCCTCCATCCGCTCCACCTCCCTCTCGTCTTTCGTCTATCCACCCAACACCTCGTCTTCGCTCAACGACCATCTCTCCTTCCGCCGACTAACCTGCCCCTCCCCGGCCGATTGCCTCGCAGCCCCCTCTCCCCGCCGATAACGACCCTCGGCCCGCGGCGCAATCGTACCGGATCGGCCCACGCTTCTCCTGACCTGGGACCTCGGCATCCAAACAGGACTTCGACTGGGACCATCTTGCGCAACCCTCTTCCTCGCCACATCTCCGCCGCTCCGGATCCATCACTCGAGCCGGCCTAGCGCCCGCCCACACACCCGCCATGGCCATCTCAAAACGGGCCGGCGCCAAAAAGGGCGCCGCAAAGTCGGCCCCTCCCCCCTCGAAATCCAATGCCGGCGCATCCTCGTCAAAGGGCGGCGTCGCAAAGGCAGACTGGAGGGAAGGCTTCAAAAAGCCACAGGCGGGCGTCTCGGACATGACGCTACTCTCCAAGGTATCCAACGAGGAGATCAACTCGAACCTCCAGAAGCGCTTCGAGAATGCCGAAATCTACGTACGTAGGGGGTCTCCTCGCCCGCAACCTCGCCGCCACCCTGACATCGTGTCTTGCAGGTGTCTCCCCAGCTGACCGGCTGACCTCTGCGACCGCCTCGTCCCTGCCTGTCCGCATCGCATCCCTCCCCACCTACAGACCTACATCGGCAACGTCCTCATCTCGGTCAACCCGTTCCGCGACCTGGGCATCTACACCGACGACGTCCTCCAGTCCTACCGCGGCAAGAACCGCCTCGAGATGACGCCCCACGTCTACGCCATCGCAGAGGGCGCCTACTACAACATGGCCGCCTACAAGGAGAACCAGTGCGTCATCATCTCGGGCGAGTCGGGCGCAGGAAAGACCGAGGCGGCCAAGCGCATCATGCAGTACATTGCCGCCGTCAGCGGCGACGGCGGCGGCGCGGGCAGCGGCGGCATCCAGGGCATCAAGGACATGGTGCTCGCCACCAACCCGCTCCTCGAGAGCTTCGGGTGCGCAAAGACGCTGCGCAACAACAACTCGTCGCGCCACGGCAAGTACCTCGAGATCATGTTCAACCCGCAGGGCGAGCCCGTCGGCGCCAGCATCACAAACTACCTCCTCGAAAAGAACCGCGTCGTCCAGCAGATCCGCGACGAGCGCAACTTCCACGTCTTCTACCAGTTTACAAAGGCCGCCTCGGACGCCCACCGCGACGCCTACGGCATCCAGGGGCCCGAGGCCTACGCCTACACGGCCAACAGCGGCTGCCTCGAGGTGCCCGGCATCGACGACGCCGCCGACTACCGCGACACGCTGGCCGCCATGCACACCATCGGCCTCTCGGCCGCCGAGCAGGACAACATCTTCCGCATGATTGCCGCCATCCTGTGGATCGGCAACGTCCAGTACGTCGAAGACGCCGAGGGCAACGCCCAGATCGCCGACGCCGCCGTGCCCGACTTTGTCGCCTACCTCCTCGAGGTCGACGCCGGCAACGTGACAAAGGCCCTCACCCAGCGCATCATGGAGACCCAACGCGGCGGGCGGCGCGGCTCGGTGTACGAGGTGCCCCTCAACCCGGCCCAGGCAGCCGCCTCGCGCGACGCCCTCGCCAAGGCCATCTACAACAACATGTTTGACTGGATCGTCGAGCGCATCAACCAGTCGATGCGCCCCGCCGCCAACGCCGGCGCCGCCAACGTCATCGGCGTGCTCGACATCTACGGCTTCGAGATCTTTGACAACAACTCGTTCGAGCAGCTCTGCATCAACTACGTCAACGAGAAGCTGCAGCAGATCTTTATCGAGCTGACGCTCAAAAAGGAGCAGGAGGAGTACGCCAGCGAGCAGATCCAGTGGACGCCGATCAAGTACTTCAACAACAAGATCGTCTGCGACCTCATCGAGGAGCGCCGCCCGCCCGGCATCTTTTCGGCGCTCAACGACGCCTGCGCCACCGCCCACGCCGACCCGACGGCCGCCGACAACTCGTTCATCCAGCGCACGGGCATGCTGGCGTCGAACCCGCACTTTGAGTCGCGCGGCACCAAGTTCCTCGTGCGCCACTACGCCGGCGACGTCATGTACAACGTCCAGGGCATGACGGACAAGAACAAGGACGCGCTGCTCAAGGACATCCTCGACCTCGTCGACTCGTCGGCCAACGGCTACCTCCAGAAGCTCTTCCCGGACCGGCCCGACCCCAACAGCAAGAAGCGGCCCCCGACCGCCGGCGACCGCATCAAGGCGAGCGCCAACGCCCTCGTCGACAACCTGATGAAGGCGCAGCCCTCGTACATCCGCACCATCAAGCCCAACCAGAACAAGAGCCCGACCGAGTACGACGTCCAGGCCATCCTCCACCAGATTAAGTACCTCGGCCTGCAAGAGAATATCCGCGTCCGCCGCGCCGGTTTCGCCTACCGCAACACGTTCGAGAAGATGGTGGAGCGCTTCTACCTCCTCTCGCCCGCCACGTCGTACGCCGGAGAGTACATCTGGCAGGGCGACGCCAAGTCCGGGTGCGAGCGCATCCTCACCGACACGGGCATCGCCCGCGACGAGTGGCAGATGGGCGTCACCAAGGCCTTCATCAAGAATCCGGAGACGCTGTTCGCGCTCGAGACGATGCGCGACCGCTACTGGCACAACATGGCGATGCGCATCCAGCGCGCCTACCGCAACTACCTGCGCTACAAGGAGGAGTGCGCGCGCCGCATCCAGCGCATGTGGCGCAACAACAAGGAGGGGCTGGCCTACGTCCAGCTGCGCGACTACGGCCACCAGGTGCTGGCGGGACGCAAGGAGCGCCGCCGCTTCAGCCTGCTTGGCATGCGCCGCTTCATGGGCGACTACCTCGACGTGGGCGGCAAGGGCGGCGGCGCCGAGGGTCAGATGCTGCGCCAGGCCGCGGGGCTCTCGGCGGGCGAGGATGTGGCGTTTAGCGCGCGTATCCAGCTCCTCGTGTCGCGCCTGGGCCGCTCGAGCAAGCCGAGCCCGCGCTTCCTGGTCCTCACCGACAAGGCCGTCTACCTGCTCGTCACGCAGCTCGTCAATAACCAGGCCCAGACGACGTGCGAGCGGCGCATCAACCTGTCGGCCATCACGGCCGTCGGCCTGTCGAACCTGCGCGACGACTGGGTCGTGCTCAACGTCGGCGGCGCCAGCGTCGACCCGGACCCCGTCTTCCACTGCGCGTTCAAGACGGAGCTCGTCGTCCACCTCCTCCAGCGCACCAGCGGCGGCGTCAACGTCAACGTGGCGCCGACGCTCGAGTACGCCAAGAAGAAGGACAAGAAGGCGCAGATCACCTTCAAGAAGGACGAGACGATCCGGCGCGACGACGTCTACAAGAGCTCGACCGTCTCGGTGCCGACGGGCGAGCCGGCCAACAGCCAGTCGAAGCCCGCTCCGAAAAAGAAGCCCGGCCTCGTCCGACCCATCACGTCTGGCAAGCTGCTCAAGGCCGGCGGTCCGTCGAACCCCAATAGCCGCGCCAAGCCCCGTA